TGCTGACTGGGGGTTGGTTCTGATAACCAGTGCCAGGTGCTGACTAGGGAGGGGGTCTGATAAGCAGAGCCACAATCACTGATCAGAAAAGTGTGTAGTACACACAAGAAAGGAAGCTGACACTGCCGTAGTGAAGGTGCTCTGGTGAAAATCTGAACAACAAAAAATACACGATAAAACACACAACTGACCCAGGATTAGAGAATTGGGCTATAAAACACACACAATATTGTGACAAGGCCCAACTTTCTGAAACTTTTCCAGCTAGTTACTCTGTTGGACAACCGTTGTATTATTTGACTTTTTTTTCTTTTCTGTACTTTCTGTAGGCATGTATATCAGCCGAGGTCACTTAGAAAAAAAAGCAACCCGTTCCCGCTGAACAAAATTCATGCTCAAATTTCACTTTTTCCTTCTCTTCAACAGCCGTGGTCATGCTCTATCACTGACCCATTCCTGCTAGTTGCAAAGATTTGTTGTTGTTTTTTTTTAACAAACTAGATTGTTTTTCTTTGGTGGTTAAATGCCAACACTCCAAATATTAACAGGAGTTGACCCAATAAACAAGAGGAAAATTAAACCACAGTGTTGCCAAAGCCCCTATGAGAAAATTAAATTCCCAACCTGGCCTCCACACTGTACTGGTACTGCCGACCCTCCCGCATGGTTTCCGAACACCCCGCACAAACTGGTCCGATGTCGTATCAGTGGATCCTGTCTACGACGCCATTGTAGTAATTCCCGTGCGAACTCACCCTGTAGTCTCCGGCTTGGACTCTTATTCCTCCGACGGGCCGTCAACTCAGAGGTCTTTTACAGCTTAGAACTGCCACGATAATATCCGCGTTTCCGCAACAACCGCAAGAAACCGCAAGAAAGTACACTACGAACGATGCTTAACTTTAGAGCTTAGAACAAGTATTCTTTATTCGACAACAACAGCTAGAATGATGAAGTTTACAGTATAGGCTTATATATCATGTACATGTATCCATTGTCTTAAGTTCAAAGCTAAGACACAGGAGGTGCATTCCAAGTGAGTGAGTCACTGTTACATAACCCAGGCATGAGTGTAGGACTACTCCATGCTACAAAGAGGGGTGATCATTATCAATCTTAATCTTACTACATGACTTTAATGAAGATGATGTTGCCTTGAACATTGCATGAGAAACAACGAAGAAATGATTGAGTAAGTACAAATTCTGGCAAAACACATAATGCAAAGATAAATTCCTTAAAACTCTGATTGCCTAGAAAACACTTGCGATATCGATATCTATCCATGAGCTAACCTATCAACCTAACACAATATCGATACTAGCTAGCCTTAGCAATTATCAATATGCTGTTCTCTGGCATACTTGCCCCTACATAAGTCTATATCACCATCACACAGCCCAACTGCACTTTCCCACAGGTGGCTGAGATAAACAATTCGGGATTATATCTGGCTGAATGAACAGAGTCATGCACTGAACTCAGCATGGTCTTGGCTGACCCATGCATCCCTTCTAGAAGAGATCATAACCTAGAAATTGTTATGGACTCTGCGTTGACTTTTCAATCACACACTTCCATTTCACAATCGATCATGAACAACCTCAGAAATCTCAGTAAAATTTGTAAACACCTTTTGAAACAAGCAACAGAAACACTGATACCTGATTTTTGTACCTTGTGCTTGGACATGTGCAACTCTCTTCTCTTTGGCATTCAACTCCTTAAACTGAACTACAGAGTAAATAAAATTTTGCTGCATGCCTCATTACACGAACCAAACACTCCCCACACATAACTACCACCCTGCAGCATCTCCACTGGCTTCCAATCAAATGCAGAATCACATACAAACTAATGCGTCTTGCATATTGCTCACAATATAACACTTCTCCTTCATATCTGTCTTTGCTCCGCTCTCCATACAACTCCAGTCGTTCACATCTCTGCTCAGCTAACCAGCCTCTTCTGGCAGTACAACGACCATACTGATCCTGGGGAGACAGAGCTTTCTGTATTGCTGTCCCACATCTATGGAAAAGTCTCCCCTTGAATATCTGGTCCAGCACATCTTTCAGCTCTTTCAAAACGGCACTCAAGGGATACTTTTACATGTATAACCTTGCTTACAGCGCAGGCTTATAACAAATCTATTTTTTCTGTATTTAACTGCAGTAATTGACTTTTACTCTTGTAGTGCCATGAGCACCTGTGAGGTGGATTTGTGCACCTTACAAATGCTCATTATTATTATTAATGGATTCAAAATCTGGTTTAAGTTTGCAAATGGACGATTGTACAGTATATGACCCCGGAGTAAGTTAGTCCCTGTTTGATCAGAAAAACCAAGATAAAGGATGTCATCATAGTAATAAGATCAAACAGAAATGTCTCATTTTTGTTCATTTGTACCCGCACCCTATTCAGGATGTATGTATATGTTAAAGACTGCTGCCATTTGGATTCAAAATGGCCACCATGGGGGAGGGGGGGTAGAAGATGGGATCAGGCAGTTGTGGACTTGTTGAGGTGTACAAAGACAGTTCTGAGAGTTTATTATAGAATATACCGAAATCCACTCCCACAA